TACTTGTTATTTTTAATGCCCATCCGTGCAGTTAAAGATCTTGTGTGTGTCCTGCCCTTATCGCTGATGATGAAGGAAATTTGACTGATGAAGTCAATCCATGCTTCAACAAGACTAATTGGTCTTACTGGATCCATGCTTCAAAACTGGATTGACTTCATCATCAGTCAAATTTCCTTTATCATCAATTACGAAGGCAGAAGGATACTGAGATGAACCATCAACAAAAGGCAAGAGACCCCGACTACGAAGGAGAGGGATGAATTGAGTCTTCCGCAATGGATAGTTGTTATGATCCAACTTAATAGTGAGAATTGAGAAAGTTGGCCACATTGGGACTAGAGACAACAACGAAAAGAGCAATATGGCGTGGAGAGGGATGTCGTTAGACGCAGAGGGATGATACTACTAAGGGACTCAATTGAATGTAACGTGGCTAGATAATTTTAGAGTAGAAAGTATGAAACCAAACTCTTTAAAAACACAAGTAGTAACGAAAGAGATCAATACATACATTACATAATTCAAATCCTTAGGCTGCATGATCGTTGAACCATTGAAACTGAGTAGAAGATTTTTGTTGCAACGCATTGAATGAGATAGAAGAACCGTATGAACTTGGTTTTGCGGGCTTAGCTTATCAACTCAAACTCTCTTTGTGAACTCTTAATAATGGAAATATATAGAAGGCTAAAATTATATAACCTAATGACATTCAAATTGAGTCCCTTATAGGTATGAAGTTTTATCTTAAAAGGCATCAATGCTATTAGCAATAGATCACGTATTTTTTACTTGTAGATTATTGTAGTACATTTCGATGTGAGATTATATCGCCTTACTAGTGTCCATATAGGCTTATTCTTTTGTTCACCATGGATCAAGAATTTTGGTGGTCAATTATCATTGAGGTAATCTAATGGAAATCCATATAGTCGGAGTGGGAGCGTCTTAGCAGCACTCAAGAAACAATTGTTATTTGCCTCCACTCGAATGAGTTTGCTAAATGATGACTTTAAGGTAATCTAAACAATTGTTAGAATAAATGTAAAAATATAGAGAATAACTTGAATGATAACTTTGATATATGACTTAAATGGTTTCCTTAAAGTGTTATTTGCCCCCACTCGAATGAGTTTGCTAAAGGATTCTTAACAAATCATTTCCAGAATATAACAAAGTATGGAATATTCGATTATCGCCTAGCAATACTCCGTCTTTATTTTGTCAAAGTAAGTCACGGCTCCAAATCTCACCGACGATGGTTGATGCAATCAAAACTCAAATAAGACCTTTGTCGGACAACCTGGACTCCAACTGTGGCTTGTATAGCTCAGGGATACTTCTGCAACAAATGTAAGGAAAAAATAAATGCATTGTCTGGTCCTTTGGCAATTCGAGTAATCATTGCACCTCCAGCGGTCCATTTCCAAGGAATGGCGATAACAAAGGCCAACAGATTAATGTGTGTTTCAGATTTTTTTTTTTCCTGGGAAATGGATCTTAATCCAATTGTACGATCTGATAAGATCATCTGGCATTGAATGCATGCCAGCATAACTGGTGAGCTCCAGGTGGACGACTCAGAGAACACTACTGTTGAAGTTATGGTTTCACGACGAGTCTTGTGAGTTTATGCTTATTCCAAACTCTGTATCAAGCAATTTTCAAATAGGAAGCGAAGAGTTATTTCTTGTTTTGTTAATCAACAATTGTCATTCACGAGATTAAAACTACTCTATCTCTTTAAGTTATAAAGTGAAACTTTGCGTGCCGTTAAATCAAATTATCTTGAATAATTGAAGAGTTAATTCAATGATAATCACACTGCTTTTCTTCCTCGCACACGTATGTTTAACTATGTCCTTGTTTTTGTGTAAATAATTTAATTTTATTGCCAGAAATAAGGAGAAGTGAGTAACCAAAAAAAAATGTTTTCACTTTCTTCTCGTTTCTAGTTATTAGATTGAAAAATTAAAAGAATAACCAACGAACAAAATTGAGAGGAGTGTAAAAGATAAAAAAGTAGTGCTGAAATCACTCCCATTAAACAAATCATGGTTAGAATAGGGTTCATTTTTCATTGTGTGCTGCTTTTGTACGCATGTCGTTGGTGCGACCTAACGAGCTTTGTATGCTGGCTTCTTATAATTAATATTATATTGCATAAAATATATTACTTGTTATTTTTAATGCCCATCCGTGCAATTCAAGATCTTGTGTGTGTCCTTAACCTATAATCTCAACTGCTCAACTCAATGATTTAAATTCTTTAATCTCCAATCATTTCTTTTATGTTTTTTTAATTCTGTATTAATTAATGAATAAGAAATTGTGACGAAATCTGCGAAGAGTTTTTACTGTGGTGGAACACGGTTCGGTATATAAAATGTAATAATACAATTGGTTAGAAACTTACAAAAATATTTAATTTATTATATTATTATATTTGGTATAACAAACCGTATTCTCAAGAGAAGTTTCTTTGAAATGTGGGGCGGAATATGGGCTGAAAGCTGTAGAGCAGAAAACCAGCATGCAGGGAAAAGATAAATAAGCTTTCACCTTACATGCGTGAGTGAACGTATAGTATATTAGTTTCACCGCAGCTTAATTAATATATTTTTTTAGTAATAACTAATATAATTGGATTCACATTATTCATTCATTACCCAAATGCTTTGTTAGGTCATCTAAATTCAGACATGAGATAAGGAGATGAGTTCACTATGACTGTGGCGTACTCAATCATAATACAACGTCATATGAAAAGATACGTGATTTTGTATTAGTAGTCCAAAACGCTATGATATGGTGGAATAGTTTTCACGTTTTGCTATATCTTACCGTAGAAATGATCTTGAAACCCAACAATACATTCTTAACTTAAAATCTTTCCAATCCGACTTTAAAAAGTAAAAATTGTGCAAACGTGCATATTTATCTAGCAACTCCATCTTGAACATGAATATTGCCAAAGAGTGCTAAAAGTAGTAGTTTGTCGAGAGGATTTCCTTTCGAAGTGGGATTGCATGTGAGCACAATAGTAATGCAACTCAAATCCTAAACGTCCTATGAATAATAACAAAAAGCTAAAAGCGATATTAACTCAAGAGAAATTCTTTTTGAGAATCAAAGTGCGATTGCATGTGAGCACCATTGCAATGCGATTCAAACCCCAACCGCCATATGAAGAGTAACGAAGGGCACTAAAAGCGATTGTAACTCGAGAAATTCTTTTCGAGAATCGAAGTGGGATTGCATGCGAGCACAATTCCATCGCGACCTAAATCCCAACCATTTTATGAATAATTACAGTGAGCGCTAAAAGCGGTGGTAACTCGAGAGGAATTCTTTTGAGAATCGAAGTGGGATTGACTGCCAACGCAATTTCAAAGCGACTCAAACCCAACCGTCTTATCTTCTACGTGTCCGTTGAACTTGCACAAAAAAAAAAAAAAAAAAAATCGAAAACTCCATATTTGCACATTTCTTTCTATTGCAGTGTCACCATCGCAATAGAAGCTACCTAATAGATGTTTTATCTTGATGGGCAAAAAAATTTAAAAAAAAATACCAAATAAAAAATGGATTTCCAGCTAGGAGCCTTAAAAAGATTTTTATTAGGGCACTGAGATTTACAGGGGTTAGAGAGGGGAGGGGACCATTCTGGACAGATTGGCAAGTACCAGATTTTTTGGTGGTATCCATCTGTGTTTTCATTCTCTCCATAATTGAGAGTCTGTTTGTGATCATCCCAATCCCCACCCCTTCATGGCTCCCTCCTCCTCCTCCACCTCCTCCTCCTCCTCCAGATGTACTCCACTTAGCCCCACTTGGTCTTTTACCCTAATCATTTTAGTTCACATAGATCATGACCCTTAGATTCCTTCCAAAACATGGACGCACCCTTGTGTCAAAACTCAAATGTAACTTTGGAGGGTGACTTGCCTACACCGGTTACAGGAGAGTGCAACTGTGATAGTGTCTCAAGCTAATAACAAAGTATTATGTGGCAAAGTTAAAATTCACGACATTGCGTTATTGATTCAGGATACTACCGCAAGTTATATTTAGTGTAGGTAAATCGTTGCGGTAGTTTTATGGACTAGGGTGATTATCACATCAGTTGGGTCCAATGTGGAACCGGGTGACATCAAAATACAAGGGGTCGCATACTTTTAAGAAAGATGTCCCTACAGATGATGCGGTCAGATACCCTAGCCAGTTGAACCAAACTAAGCTAGTTGAACAAAAAATTCTACCAGTTGAGGTAAAAAAGGGATTCAATGTAGGTAAAAAGGTTGACAATGATTCTTGTTGCAGTCAAAGTGTCGACAGGACCATGTTCAGCTCACACTAAATTGGGTAAATGTGGTTTTCAAGATTCATCAAACTATGCTGTCACTTTCACAAGAAACAAGAGATGTTTTAGCCATTTCAAAATTCTAGTCTCCACATTCAAATTTTACTCCTTATATGCTGCAATGCCAAAGCAGAGCAATATGGAGCTAAAAGGGAAAACCCTGCTTAAGTCGGGAATTTACCAAAAAAATGGACTTAAACAAGAAGCTACGAGTCTACTGCATCCCCAACAATTTCTACTGCTTATGGAACATGATTTTTGTTCCGTCTTCGGAAACCAGGAGAGGGACTTGCATGAAGCAGAAACAAAAGGATTGATAAACAAAAGCCAATGCATTCAGCTTTCAATTTCTTTTTGCAGGTTTGAGCAAGCTGCTGAGGACTTTGAACCCTTTCACTGAAAAGTAGTAAAGAACAAAAGAATGACATAGGGAACTAGAGGCTACTCTTTCTCCTAATGAGAAGTTTACTATTTACAAATAGATGAAGAAAAAAGGCCTTAATTCCCTTTGTGCTTCTCTCTCATTTCTGGAGTGAAAGAGGCTAAAACCTGCAAATTTCCTATATAGGGTGATATGGGGTTCTCTCAATCTTTTTCGGAACAATTCCGATTTTGGGGTTCAGGTTTGTGCTAATGTATCAAAACACACAGAACTTCCATTTAACTCTACGAATGAAAATAAAGCAGATTAGCAACATATTGCTAGTCTAGCAACAGAAACACAAACCAAATATAAAGCAAGCAAAAAGTTTGAGCTTTAAGTGCTCAACTCAAACATGTAAACAGAGCTGCTACAACAACATAACAAGCAACAAACTGATGAAATCAAACCTAAAACGAACCGAGGGAGCGGAAAAAACCCGAAAATGCACTCAGATTTCTTCTTCCCAAGGCGTACGCCATTGAACCAAAGCGACCGAAAAATCTTCTCCCTGGCCACATCTGAATTGGGAATCAACAGGTAGCTCTTGTAATCTCCCTGTGGAAGGGAGAGATGAGATGAGAGCTTGAGCCCTGCAATGACAAAAACCAACACAACAAGCACACAATGTGTGAAAATTGATCCAAAACAAGCAAAACAGGGGATAAAAATCAGAACCAAAATTTACAAAGGTAGCACCTTTTGAAGAGAAGTTCAGTCTTTTTGTTTCGGTTCAATGGCGAGAATTGGAGGAAGCAGAGGACGGCTTGTCAGAGATGCCGTCGTGCTCCTCCTCGCCGTGAATTCGTGCCGGGATGTGGAAGCCGGAGAATTCACCTCCGGAGGTGAATCCCATACTGGAAAAGGACGGTTGGTGATGAATGGATTGCGAGATTTGATGATGATGGTCGTGAGAAATGGATTGTTGGTTTTGCTGGTCCATCATCCAAGCACGAATTGACGGCGAGTTACTGGACTGAAGGGGTCCCCTCTGAAAAAAGAACTGGCTTTGGCCGAACAACGACTGCTGCTGCTGCAAAGAACTAGTACTACTCTGCTGTGTTGGTAGCAGCGAGTTGAATGTAAACCCGCCTGACGACGATGATCCACCGCCGTTATCACCGCTATCTCCGTCTCCGCTGTTCCAAGCCACCATTCGCTGGAATCTGTTTATCTCTTGCTGCTGCTGGTTGTGGTGATGCTCTGCCCACGCGGCGGAGGACCCATCAAACCCGAGCGGGTTTTGGGATCCGGAGAAAAGGGATTGCTCGTTTTGATGGGTATGAGCGTGGTGCTGGTGGAGGAGAATTGGGTCTTGGAAGGATTGCAGAGAGAGGCGCAGATCTTGGCTCTGGCTGCTGGTTCTGGAGAGTAAATCAGGTGGGTAGTTCTGATGAAACTGTATCGTCGACGACGGAGCCTCGGCTGCAGCTGCGATTGCGGAAGCACCCGTTGGGAAAAAGGACTTTATGGTGTCTGCAATGGCGTCCGAGTCGAGCGACGGCGGGAGGAAAGTCAAGTTGCTATTTGGGTTCTGAACAATTTGCTGTTCCGAAACTCCACTCCCCACCATTGTTGTCCTTCGATTAGCAGACCCAATTGCGTCCACTCCCGCGAAGCAGTGTATGCCGGTCGTGGTCGGATTGTGGGTCTCCACGCCCGGAACCGACGCGGTGGTTGAAGTCGAATATAGGTTCCATGAGGGAAGCTCGTCTAGCTCGTCTATGGCGGCCTTGGCCTTCTTGATTAGCCAATCGACGGCCTTGCTGGGTCGGTCATAGCCGAGCCGGTCCTGGACGTCGTAGAATTGAATGGCGGTGTGAGCGGCGAGCCGGACGCGGCGGTCCCTCGGGCCTTTAGCCGTGCAGACCTTGCTGTGCCTGTCTTTCCGGCCCGTCGCCCGGACAATGTGGCTGCCTCGTACCACCTCCACGATGTCGGTGCTGACTACTCCTCCGCCCGAGGACGGCGGCCTTATCCCCAGGCGAGACGACGTCGTTGCTTGGTGGTGGTGAGAATCCCCCATTTTTGATCTTGCATATTCGATGCTCTGTTCCCCAAAAGTTGAAGAAGAAGAAGAAGTGAAGCTGCGTTTCTTTGGAGCTTGCTGCTGCTCTTGCAGCTGCAACTGCTGGGTTTCTCCAAAGAAATGCTGGTGCTGGTGCTGGGTTTGTGGGTCTTGCTGGAAATACGGAAAGTTGAAAGCTTGGTGGTGATTCTGCTGGGTTTGTTGCTGGGTTTCTTCTTCTCCTTGGACAAGATGGTTAAAATTGAGAATTGGGTTTTGGTGGAGATAATGGTGGTGATTCCTTTGAGGATCCAGAGTCAGACCCTTGTGATTTTCCTCTTCCAGTTTTTAATGGAACAGTACACCTGCTTCTGCTTCTGCTTCTACAACAATTACTTTTACAAATAGACTTCTTTTTGCTAGTGGTTTTTCTTTGCCGCTGGGATCTCCTGATGCTTGTGCTGCCACCTCTCCTCTGAGCCCTGAAGCTGCTTCTGCTTTTCCTGCTTCTGGCTCTCCCAAAAGCCTCTGTCAGTCAATGTTTTCAGTTCCATATCACGAACACCCCCACCCCTACCACCATAATCTAAACCCAAACCAGACTGAAAGAGAAAGGCTAAACCAGCTCCCCTGCCAGCCTAACCCATCTCTCTCTCTCTCTCTCTCTCTCTCTCTCTCCTTTTGGTATTTGTGCCTCTTAATTGTACACTTCTTCAGCTTTATTATGTGGACTGACTAACTTAATTACCAGAACTGGTTATATATAGGGGTTAACACTACCCAGCAGAGCAGGCAAACCCAACAACAAGAAAACTAAATCCCAATTTCTAGAGAAATAAAGTGAGAAATTGGGGGAATTAAAGGGAGGAGAGAAAAATTACACACTTTAAATTGTTTTCTCCTCCTATATGTACAGGTGGAGTTGATGATGGCAGTGGTAAGGGTGGCAGTGTTTGGTCAGAAAGAGGATTAAAGATCTCTGTGATCTCATCATTGCGTCTGCTCTCTCTCTCTCTGCTTTCATTGTACCATATATCTGCACCTCCTTCACAACACTTCAACTATACAAAATACACGGAAAGAAAAGGTAAAAAAAAGTAAGATTCTCCTTCTTTTTATTTTCATTCCTTTCTCTCGTCTCCTTTTATATTTTATTTTATTTTTAATTTTATTGTTTTTATAAAAAAATATAAAATATTGATATAACTTAACCGTAATCGTTTAAGTAGGAGATTATCAAACTATTTTGTTCTAGGTTTTCTCCATTTCTTTCAATCAGTCAGCTCCAAAATTTAATTCCTCTTTCATATTTGAATCCCATCCGAATTCAATTTGTGAAGATTCTACAAATTCTTACATCATAACCGTTTATTGTACATTATGCAACGAGAAATCATTTTGAATTTTTTTATTTAAAATTAAACACAAATAGTACCTAACGAAAACTGACCACACAATATACGATAAACGGTCAAGATATTAGAATCCTAGGCTCCTCATAAAGAGGATCCTCATCCCTTCCTTTCAATTCCTTTTAACTCTCCCTTTTTTTTTTTACAATTGGATATACCTGTATTCTCTCTTTGTAAATAACATATTTTGATCTAATAAATTTTATAATCCGACTTGTTCAAAGCTTTTTAATTTTTATTTCTGTATCACTTATATAAAAAAATTATTTCAATCTGAGATCATTTAGTCATTCAAATATATAAACAAACTTACTGCGTAAATACCAAATAATATATTCATAATGAGTCGTTCATTTGTTTGATGCGTTTTGGATGATTAAAAGATCTCCAATTTGAATGATTTTTTGTAAGAGTGATCTATAAATGAAGATTAATAAATTGAACGGTTTCGATCAATGAACTTATCCGGTCAAGACACGTTATTCACATATAGGAAGATATGTGCATTCTTCGCATGGTGAGATGCAAGTATTACTCTTTCCAATTTTACTTTCTTTTTGTTTTCTGCCTATCAGTACGGTTTAGTAATATTCTTCATTAAATTATGTATAAAATATCTAATCGTTATAGTTGACGTATTATGTGGGTTAGCACAAATATCCTCAAGGCACATAGGTTTTAAAGCATATCACACAAACATATCTTCTATGTTTGCTTTCACTATGATCCCCACAGCACCAATAGTATAATATTATGTGATAAAATTTAAACTCGTGGCATTGCATACCAAGTCTTTACCTACACTAATCTTGTACGACTTAAAAGCTGATCTAATCAGATAAATCTATCGAAATTTATCCTCCTCTCTCTCTCTCTCGAGGTTGTTTTAATTTTCAGGGTTTTACTTGGTGGGCATAAGTTAGAACCGTTGGTTTGAGGTCAAGGGCACTCACCGTCTGCAGGATGCTCTGGTAGATTAGATCCTTTATATGCCACCACCCACGCCTTTTGAAAGTGACACCCCCCCTTCAAACTTTTTATGCTCTCTCTCTATCTCTCTCTCTCTATCTCTCTCAGACAGAAGGGTTAAGCAAAAGCAACAGCTTATCTTTTTCTGTATTTTCCTGCATTTTCTTTCTTTTTCTTTTTCTTTTTTTTTTTTTTTTGGTAGAAGTATTTTCTTTCTTTTGCTAAGCCACAGTGTCCTTCTTTCAGATCACTTTTTTGTTAATTTGTATTCTGGTTTACTCGTTACTTTACAATTTACATGGTGTTTTTGGGAAATGTCTTTTCTTTTCTTCTCATACTACTCTTTTTAACAAATTAATGTAATCTTGTACGGATGAAAAGATTTTAATGTATAAAATTAGCATCTTTAAGTGAAAAATAAAGATGGTATAAAAGTAGCATATGGAAAAAAAATATGTTTATATTATGCTGTAAACCCTGCAATGATTGTGGTTGTCAAAAAAGTTGAATGTCAGAGGAGGTTTTGGGCTAAAATGTTTTATATGATACTTATGATGGATCAAAAAATAAGAGAAAGTTGTGTGGAACTTGGTTTGTCATTGAATTTTACTATGTAATACTACAATTCATTCAAAACTCATTGACATGTTTTAAATATAATCTTTTTTATTATTTATATTTAAAATTCTCATAATCATTAACTAATATAAACCATGAGATCGATCTAATTGTGTTGCTCAGTTTCCCTAACCAATAAGAGATTGGGTTTAGGGTTTAGGAATCTCTATCCAATAAGAGAATAGTGCTTTGCAAAAGTATCACCATATTGTGAGAATTTACCTTTTTTAAAAGAAAAAAGTCTAGTCCTAAAAATGCATAGTTTGAGAATGCTTGTTGCTTTTTTACTTATATACGAGCGGAATGTATGACTTAAGCTCGATGAGGGTTTTCTTCCAATTTTATTGGAAGTCCTCAAAGGAACGAGTTTTTTTATTATCTATTAGTATATGGGTACACACAAAGTGTGTGAGAAAATTTTTTATTTTTGTTTTTGAAATAGAAGGAGAAAGGAAGAGTGATAGAGAATGTGAGAGTGAGAAGTTTTGTTTTGTTTCGTTTGTTTTTTTTTTTTTTTTTTTTTTTCATATTTCTTATTCATATTCTATTTTAATTAGAGGGTTAAAATAGTAATTTCACAGGGTTTTGGTTGACAATGAGTGTTTTATTAAGGAAGCTACTAGACCCACCACATTGTCTTATTTTTCCACTCACGTTATAATCTCACCCACCTTAAAAAGTTAAAAAATTAAAATGTTATTTCCCCTCCAACTATTATTCCCAAAATAACCTTTAATATATACATACATATGAACTTATAAAAAATATAACAAATAATATGTAAATGAAAACCACTAAAGTCTGCAAATTCATATGGAAACGACAGAGGTATCCAAATTTAAAAAAATTTGACAACGACAAATTCAAAAATACGATGAACAAATTCAAATGACCTACACTCAAATTATTCTTCTACCTTTTAAATGGAAACAGAATCTTTTACCTCTTCTGTAGAAGCGTCATCTTCCACCTGTTCAATGAAAAAGTCATCTTCTAAGTCCATTGATATTTTTTTTACTTTTTCTTAATGAAAAGAGATGAAAATATGAGTTAGGGTTTTAAGGTAGAGAAGTCGTCTCCCACGCCCAACCTTTTTTAAAAAAAATTAAGCAAAATAAGATAATTAATGTCCTTATCAATCTTTTTGTAAATGAACAAATTTGTAATTAAAAAAATCATTAACAGGTGGGTGAGAAGATAAGACATTGAGGTGGAAATAACATTGCTCTTTATTAATTAGTAGAGATAAATCTATTTTCTTTATTTGCAAAAAACAATAAATAAAAAAAAAACAATTTATGTGTTCCTCTTTAACAAATAGAAATAAAATTGTTCTCTTCATGAGAGAATGCTTTTCTTTTTGAACAAATGAAAGTATCTACATTAAGAGGTGAGGGGTTGTGGGCTAAGTCTGACAATGAGCTTACCATAATAATGTGGTTCAAATTCACATTTGACAAAAATTAAACCTAAAACATCTCACTTACAAATTAAAAAAAAAAAATATCACTAAACTGTAAGAAGAATAAAAGTTCAAAAGTGTGATCCATGTGAGGAAGTTATCAATGGCCAAAACAAAGCCACTTGTCAAAAGATTAAATAGGTTGTTATACATATAGTTGGTTAGTTAGAATCTTGTTAGAGTGAATTAGTTGGTATAAGGAGGTAGTTAAAGAGGAGTACTTGCTCTACAAGTTTGGCAAACTTCTATATAAATGAACTATGTAAATCGTATGGTTTTCTAATGAAGAAAAATAGTCTCTACTGATACAACTCTCTCTCATCTCCTCTATCTCTCTTCTTAAAACATATTTAGCTATCTTGATATGGTATCATTGCCGGCCGATCCGATGCTTCCGCTCAACCTCTAAAGCATTTCTTTCTCTTCTCTACCCTCTAGTTTGCATCTTTCTGTGATATTTTTTGCGACGGAAAACATACCAGTCGCTCAGAAAGTTGGTTTCTTCTCGTTTGCCCACCAACTGTTTGATCAAACGTCTCAGCCAATGATTGTTCATGAAATCTGCAACATGGTCACTGCAGCTCAATTACAGATTGTTCAGTCGCCGATTACCAGTGTTTTCTCCATTGTCTCCACTTCTGTTACAGTAAAGCTTGATGATTCCAATTATCTTACTTGGAGCGTTCAGGTCCGATTGCTTCTGGAAAGCCATGGAATTATGGGATTTCTTGATCGTTCAAGAAAGTGCCCTCCACGGTTCAACGACAATTCTGAAGTTAAAGGGGTTGAAAATGATGAATACCTGGTTTGGAAAATGCACGATCATGCACTAATGCAGTTGCTCATTGCCACATTATCAACCACTGCCATTTCCTACATCATTGGATGCAACAGTTCTGCCGAGATGTGGTTGAATCTCACTGAGCGATTCTCTGCTGTGACAAAAGCAACGATCTTTCAGATGAAGACAGAACTTCAGAATATCAAGAAAGGGTCAGAATCGGTTTCTGTTTATCTCCAAAAGATTAAGGATGCAAGAGATCACCTTGCCGCAGATGGAGTAATTTTTTATGATAAAGATATTATAATTCTTGCATTAAAAGGACTACCTGCAGACTTTAACACATTTCGATGTGTGATCAGAGGCAGGGAGAATGGGATATCTCTCAAAGACTTCAGGTCTCAACTCCTGGCTAAAGAAGCTATCATTGATCAGTCTTTTGACAGTTCTTCTGGATTGTCCTTTGGTAGTGCCATGGTTGCTGGAATTCAATCTGACAAAGGGAAAGCACTTGTTCTTGATCAAGATTAACCACGATCATCCTCTGATCCATCTTTCAGGCACAATGGAAGATCCAGTCTTCCTAATTCCAATCATACTACTGGATCTTACAACACTGGGAGTTACCACAACTTTGGCAACTTTAAGGGTAACAATTTCAGGGGCAAAGGGATAGGCATATTCCAATACAATTCAGGTCCTAGATTTTCCAACGGTAATCCTGGTATTCTTAGTACTCCAAAGCCATATCAATCTCACTGCCCGGATCACCCTTCTGAGATTCCTACTTGTCAAATA